TATCATAGAAATAACATACAATGAACATACATTAACACCCACAAATATTGACATACTTGGCATAGCCAGAACACAAACAACCGAGAGTCATAAAGAAGAATACAAGAGTCTTCATCGTGATTTTCTCTTTGTTGTAACTTGCTCACTGCATCAAAAAGTACCTCTTTATATAGCCTGCTGAACTTGAGGCATGCATCATGCAGCTATTGTTACAAGCACGTGTTAAAAATGCCTTAATGTTTGACATGTGTGTCTGGTATTATTTACAACTAAGTACACCTAATAGTACATAATAGTAAGCTACCCAAAATATTGGCATTAGACATGGTGGCTCTCGTGACACATGTTTGCCCTGGTTGCATACTATTATTTATAACTTCTAGTGCATCGCAATAGACTACTGACCTAACACAATGCCCCATTGTACTTTTCTTTGTTACATTCTTTCTCATTCATTGAATCAATCATCAACTTGCAAGGCATAGATTATGTGGCATATAGATAGAAATGCAATGTATAAGTAAAGTTTATATGTATGACAACAAGAAGCATTAAAAATATACAGCTATATGCACTTATTATATTAGACCAGTTCATTGCTTGTTGCATTTAAAATGAATGGACACTTTACCAGAGATATCAACTGGACATCCTCCTTGATTATTCCACCAAACCCTAATCCGGTTGGTAAGGGAGGCTTCCAACACCTCTATTGTACTTTGGCTTGTAACAGCTTTTTGGTGGCCTTGCACTACCAGTAGCAGTATAGGACCATGTCAGCGTACTCTGGTCCACAGAAATAACTGCAATATCCGCAGCAAACAATGACAACTCTGATGTATAGTTTTCTTTACATTTATTAGAATAACACAGAGCATGCAGCATCATTTTCTTCATCTTCATCACATCCATCCTTTATGTGCATGTGTTTTCTGCTGTGCATAATGAAAAATCTTCACTAGCAAGAAGTGAACATTTCTTATAGTATAATCCAAGATAGCTCTCTCCTCATCATCTGCACAGCCAATAGTTACTGGACCAACCTTTATTCCACATGCTTTGTGAACTAGAAAAAATTGATTAACAATATGCAGTACACTTGGAAGAGTCTTAATTACTATCAACACAGCCAAGCTTGACTAGTGAGTAGTAAACACAAATTTAATTAATGTTATCCAGAATACCTTTAAGAAGATGAAAATGTGAGGACTGATTCTTAATTCAACAGAAATAGAAAATATACTTTAAAACTATCAGAGACAAACGCTGCATGTGCTTTGTGGTGGTGACATTGCTTTGATTATGTTCATAACTTCATTTCTGTTTCCAAAGACACATCAATAACTTTTGCTTTATTAAGTAGTCTATTATAGCTTTACCTGTAATGATCACGGTTGTAAGACTTTGTGCCTATCATGGCGGAAATGGCATACAATGAACATACATTAACACATACAGTTATTGACATACTTGGAATAGCCAAGTATGTACACGTAGTTTATTAATATCAAGGATAGAAAATTTATGCAATTACATGTATCTAAACCTTATAATGAATTGTGTAATACAAGTGCTGTACATACAACTATATGTATTGTATAAAACTTTTGTACAGTATTAAATTCCAGGACAAAAAACCACTTACTTCATGATGTTTTATCCTTGAAAGTCATGCCTTAATTTTCTTTGTAATTAAACTTTTGTGTTTCCTTCCATGTTTTCAGTTTTAAGTAACACTACATACAGTGTTCTTTTTTTCCTTACCTCTCACACACTTTATGCTACTTTCTTTGTTCCTCCCTCTCTCTCTTCCTCTTAGGCTGAGAAGCATCAGAAGAGATCAATCAAGTTAATTATTATAATAGTATTAATACTTATAATAGTAGTGACTGTTGTTACTTTTATTATTGTTAAAGTTGTAAGGAAAGGAAAAGGAATAATTTAATAATAATAATAATACCATTATTAATTAATACACTGTGTAGTTTAGTAAGTTTTAAAATATTATTACTATTGGTAGTGGTTTGTGTGGTTGTTTTTTTCTGTGTCTATCAATCAATGTCTTCTTTAAATTCTTTTGATCATTATTAGTGGTCCATATCAGGAGATTAGGGTACTTAACATTAATTTCTATATATTCCAGTGATGGATGGATGAGATGGGTGAAGATAGTTTCAAACAAATGTTGTAGTGGCTTAAAAATAGCATTGTCACATACTATCTTCAGTAGTCTTATGGTTGTATGTGACTGTAACATGTTAGTAACAGCAGGTAGTACCTGTTCATAAAACAATGATGTCATTATTTGTGCCTTCTCTTCATAACTACATTTACTGTATGACTGATCTGGTTTGAAGCTCACTTTAAGTTCTGTGAGATTGCTCTTTTGAGAGATGACATTAATAAAAGTTCTTATCTCTTCATTCAATGGAAGTGGAATGGATACACTCAACTGCTGTAGGCTGGTGTTGTGTCTGAGACCAGTTGTTAGGAAGGACAGAGCTGAACTGGGAATGGGAAAGTCACTAAACCATGTAGAATTAATCTTAAGGTATTTCAGTGTTTGGTTTTGTGTTAGCATGTCTTGTAGACTAGAACCCATACTGCTGGTATATACTCTCTCCTCCTCTACCTTCATCACTCTCAGAGCCTTAAGTGTAGTATTGGTTTGTAGAATAGTAAATAGTTCAATAGCACTCTCAGCTGTGTCTAGTGATAAAAAAGTAAGTGTATGTAGACTGGGATGAGAGAGAAATAGAAGGTGTGGTGGGTATGGATCAAGTAGTAACAGACAGTGCAATCCTTTGATATGTGGAAGGAGTGATTTCATCAATTTACTCCATCCTATCTCTAGAGCAGTCAGTGGTGTGTTCACCTCTACTATATTCAGTGATGATGGTAGGAGTTTATCAGATATTATCAGTGAAAGAGCTTGTAATGTGTTGTTGTCCTTTAGTAACTGCTCTATTACTCCATCAGGTAGAGGAGCAGGATCTTCATCATCATAAGAATGGTGTAAATCTATTGTTAATGATGTTATTGTTTTATTTCTTGTTACTCCTCTAATGACACTGATAATGGTATTTGTTATTTCATTCCTTTTAATGTTGTCGATTTTCATTTCTTGTAGTGTTGAATTCATTTCTATACATTTTTCAAGTTCAGTGCACTTATCTGTGTAGCATGTCTTGTCAACTGTTGGTATAGTAGGATTGTCCATTATTAAGTGCAGTATCTTCAATTGAGGAAGATTGAGGAACTCTAACAATACAAGACAGGGAACATATTGACCACTACCTAGTTCACAGTAGCAGTCCTGAATATTGTATAGAAGTGATGATCGTAATAATTTGTGTATTAATTCATCAGTGGGTTCTCTCAACTCTACCTCCAGTCTCTTACACTGGGTTTGTAGTGAGTTATTGGTTAGTTCAGCAGTGAAGACTGATAGTTCCTGGTTAGATACAATCCCCAGGTCCAAGTGATTCCATGTTGTGTTAGAATTGTTTATACAATAACTGAGACACAACCAGTCAAACAATGATAATGATACTCCATACAGACACAGTGAGTAGTTGTTGATGGATTGTGCTAATACTTGACATAATGTTGTGTTCTGTGATTCATACAGGAGTTGAAGAAGAAGAATGGGAACATCGTCAATGTCAAAAACACAATAATCAGATCTGCTGATATGATAATTTCGTGTAATCTCAGGATTCTGATAGAATTGAGAGAGATGACAAGCCTCAAATCCAAACAATGGTTCCCTCTTACACTGTAAGTTAAGTTGTTGTTTATTAAAATACTGTTGATAGCTCTCATGTTCAAGGTGAGTTAGACCTGCTACAAACCTCAGACACATTCGAAAGTGATCATCATCAAAGTGATCCTTAAACACTTCCTCTGTCTTCTCCTCATACTTAGCTATCCACCATGCAGCTAGAAATTCCTGTATACTCAAGTGAAGGAACTGATACTTCTCCTCATCATATTCTGTGAATGTTGTCATCAATCCAAGATAGTCTTTCTTGACTGCCTCACTCAGTGACTGTAGTTGATGTGAAGAGAATGTCATTCTTGTATTAGCCAGGTTAGTATAAGCTAATTGACACATCTCTTGTAAAAGTTTAGCTATTTCTGATGGTAATGAAGAAAGACTACCTAAAGTATGTGGGTTAATGTCATGTCTTTTAACATGTCTTCTGATAGTTTGTAGGATAAAGTTCTCATACAGTTGAGTGAGTGTTGTTGGTAAGTGTCCTCCTTGCTTACAATAGACCAAGATAACCATGGAACAGACTAGTGGCATGTAACACAATGATTGGACATCATTTCGTACTTCAAGATCATTAATGAGTTTCACTGCTAGTTGTGAGCCCTTACTGCTTTGAAGTGTTTGTATAATTACTGTTGATACTTCTTCCTCAGAAAACCCAATGACCTGAACATGTCTACTGAGAGTATCCATTTTCAAAAGTGAAGAGGAGGCATAGCTACGAGAGGTAACAATTACTGAACATTGGTCTAACTGCTTTCTATGAATGATACTAGCAGCTAATGAAAACTGTCTGAGTTGTTCACTTAGTTCATCCCAACCATCAAAGATTATCAGTAATCCTTCTCCATTTCTCTTCTCAAACCATTCAGCTACAATGGGAACTTTATAACGTCTATACTCAAACAGGTCATCTAGTGTAGTAGCTGTGGCTATCTTACTATTCCTTAAAGGACAGTAAAGTACCAAGTCATACTGTTGGTGTACAAGTGGTCCATTAGACCACATATTTAACAGTTTACGACAGAGTGTCGTTTTGCCAATACCAGGAGGACCGTCTATCACTACTCTGAGAGACAGATAACTATTTGTGGGTTTGAGGACATCTTCAGCACTTATCCTTTTGTTTTCAGTTAGCTTAACTCTTTTGTCAGCTTGTCCTCTTAGCATATGCCAAGTTGATTCTATTTCTTTGCTATAGTCTTGCTTTTCTGCTAGTGCTAATCTTCCAAAGAAATCTTTTCCAATTCTTGGTGGCCAGTCTGTAGCAACAATAGGTTGGTGTTTGTAGTGTTGTCTCATATTATCAGCATATCCTTAAACCTCATCGGGTATTGAACTAATGGATGTGACAATATCAGGTATAGACTGTCCTAATGTATTGAGATATAATGACTATATTGATCACTGATAATGTACACACAAGCATGCATTTATTATGCATTGACATTGATTTTATACCTGTATACTTCAGAAGGTTATATTTTGCTTTTCCCAGTTTATCAGGAAAGTCATCACAAGTTTGTTTTAATGTATCCCAGTTGACATTTCTATTGGCATCAAACCACCTCTGGAATACCAAAATGAGATTGTTTTCTGCTGCTCCTGGTATTGGCATCAGATCAGACACATTTACACCCAATCCAACCCCTATTAGCATGTAATGACCATCAAAGGAACCAAATATCTCTGTCACTGCTTTTATATTAAGCCTTGGCTCCTTTACTATAATAATATTGATAAATATATAACCTATTCATTTTGTGTTATCTTCATATATATAGATCTACACTGAGCATGCAAGTTTGTTGCCATACAGTACTTTTAATGACTGGTTGCCAACAAAGTTGCCTAGTGTATGTTGGGCTTTAAGTGTATGTTTACCTGTTATAGGACCAGGATTAGCATTACTGGTACTGACTTCCATATCATCATTAGTACTTCTTCCAGCTGTGGGATCTGTCACTTTGTCTTCAATAGTTCTAGCTAGTTCATTCTCTTTACATTGTTTCAAAGCATTAATGACATCTCTCCATGATGCTGTAGGATTTGTATTTAACCATTTTACAAATAAGGCCAGTTTTTGATGTTTAGCATCTATATGTTGAATTGTTCGAATATTCCATTGTGTTATTCCAGGTAAGTGAAGACCAAATGATTGCCAGTCAACAAGTGGTTCAAGCCATTGAAGTAATAGGAAAATATCAGGTTGATCATCAATCATTGGACCAGGATTAAGTTCAACATCTCCTGCTAAGAGGAGGAGGAGAAATATAACCAAATAGTAGATCAGGTCAGAGCTACTGCCAATAGTAGCTGTAAACAAGACTAATGACTGGAGGCAGTGGATCATAACAGTAACAGTAATTATACCTATTGTAAATACACTGTATGATAATATTATATACTGTTAGTTTGTTTACCAGTTGGAGGAATAAAATTGAGCTTCATATATCTTAATAAAGATAAAAGAAGAGAAACAATAAGAGACAGAGCTGCTGGCAGTTCAGATGTCTTTTCTCCTGATGTAGTACTTCCTGACTTGCTGTCTACTGCAGCTTTGAATGAGTGAGAGTGGCGGCCATTAGCTGGTCTACTGGAGGCAGTTTGACAGTAGTTCCACAGTCCAATATTTGCTCTCCATTGAGAGACATCAATCATCTTGTACTATGATATGGAGGACAAGAGAATTAAGTAACTCAAGGTGTAGCTATTCCAGTGGTCACTTACACCACAGTAAAGAAAGGACTTTATGAAGAGAAAACCTCTTTTATGAAAAAGCACAACGTTCACTTGACTGGCTAACCACAAGCAAGAGGAAGTCCAGGGCTGTTATATAGCTTTAAATTATATGTTCAGACTAATGTGACATAATGTTCACAAGCAAACAGCATGTAACAGTCAAAGGGGTGTATTTCTATATTTACACAATAAAGGGAGAGGTTATAACTTTATCACTTCTTTTTGGAGGTGTATTTGGGATGTATCTATTACTAAACATTGTATTACATATATAGTCTTGCAAGCCAGGCCAATTCTCCAACAGTGAGATTGGTCTTCTATATGTATGTTACCACAAGTAATGAACTCCAAAGCATGCATATCTGGTCACAACAAAATATTCATTTCTGAATAATGTCCTAGACAT